CCAGATTTAATCATTCTACAGTGTATGTATACTTCAAAACATATTTATAAATGACAATATTTATTATTTCTGTCAATTAAAAAGCAGTGTGTCATAGTATAAAAACATCCAGATGAATGGAACAAAATAAAAATTAAAATAAAATAGATAGTAATAGCTTGATAATCATTTTACAATATACGCAGTCAACTGATCTTTGACAAAAGTGCCTCAATGTAGTATAAGGAAAGGATAGTCTTTTCAAGGAATTGTGTTAGAAAACTGGTTGTCCACATGCAAAAGAATGAAATTGGATCCTTATCTCACATCATGTACAAAAATAAAATGGATTAAAAACTTAAATGTTGTAGCGCTTGCCTAGCATGGGCGAGATACTGGGTTCGATCCTAAAGACCATATTTAAAAAAAAAAAACAAACATAAAAAAAGGTTCAATTCTTAACAAATGTGAGCTATAAAACTACTTGGGGGGCATGCAGGGGGATGGAAGAAAAGCTTCCTAACATTGGTGTTAAGACCCCATATAATCCTATATCCAAAAAATCATTATCTAGGCAACAAAGTACAATCAACCAAAACAAAAATAGACAAATGAAGCTGCATCATACTAAAAGGTTGTTACACGGCAAAGAAGACAATCCACAGTGCAGAGAGAGTCTACAGAATTGAGAGGATGTTTGCTGCACATACATCTACTAAGGGGTTAATAGTCCAAAAATCTAATGCAAGGGGAAGAAAACAACATTTAAAAATGGGCAAAAGGGGGCTGGGACTGTAGCTCAGTGGCAGAGCACTTGCCTTGGGCGTGGGAGGCACTTGGTTCGATCTTCTGCACCACATAAAAAATACACAGATAAAATAAAGGCATGCTGTCCATCTATAACTAAAAAATAAATAAATAAATAATTAAAATGGGCAAAAGGATCTGAATTGACATTTTTCAAAAGACATAAATGACAACAAGTATATGAGAAAGTACTCGACATTACTAATCATCAGGGTAAATGCACATCAAAACCACAACGTGTCACTGCATACATGTTAGAATGGTGATAATCAGAGACAAGAGATAATAAATGTTAGGGTGTGGAGAAAAAGGAACCCTTGTACACTGTTGGTGGGAATGCAAGTTGTGACAGTCATTAGGTAAAATAGCATGGAGGTGCCTCAGAATTGAAATAAATTTGCCATAACATCCAGCAATTAAACTAGTAGGTATATATGCAAAGGAATTGAAATCAATATCTCAAAGAGATATCTGCACTTTGCATGTCCATTGCAGCATTATTCACAAAAGCCAAGATATGAAAGCAACCAAGGGTCAACGAATGAATGGATAAAATATGATATATGTACATAGTGGAATACCATTCAGCCTTAAAAAGAAGGAAATTCTGTCATTTGCAGTAGCTTAGAAGATCTTGAAGAACATTATCCTAAGTGAAATAAGCCAGATTCAGAGAAATACTATATTTCGTGTGTGTAATCTAAAGATGAAGCAGAAAGTGGAAGGTGGGCAATAGGTACCAAGTGGCAGTTATATAGAGTAAGTTTTGGAGATCTAATATACAACAAGGTGACTATAGCTAATAATTCTATATTGTATAGTTTTAAATTTGCTAAGATCGTAAATGTTCTTACTTATACATACGTAAAGGTAACTACATGAGGTGATGGGTATATTAATAGCTTGATAATCATTTTACAATATACGCATGTCAAAACACATTCTACACCTTGAATATATACAATTTTATTTTCTCGTTTATAAACTAATAATTCTGGGGAGGGAAATGATTGGTTATAAAATTATATGGAGTTGCACAGATTTAGAAAGAGCCAAGACATTACTGAAAAAAATGGGGGTTAGGGACATGGGCACTTGGTCTCACCAATTTCAAGATTATTATATAATTTGAACAGTGTATATCTTCAAATGAAACAGAATAAAGATCATAGAAATAAATCCTTGCTTTAGAACTCTGACATATGACAGCACTGTAAATCAGTGAGGAAACAAGGACTGTTTATTAATTGGAGCAGGTATCAGTTTGGAGGAAAAAAATTAATATAAGCCTCTATACTATTTTTTTAAATCATTGTCAGATGAATGAAAGACTAGAATATAAAATACAAAACGTTAATGTTACTGATATGTAGTTCTTATATAGAAAGGTGATACGTGTACGTTTGTTATAAATTAAAAATTAAACTAACAAAGTCATACCAAGGGCAAACGATAATTGAGTTTCATAATCGAAGAATTATAATCTGCATCCAAGGCCAAGATTTAAAAAATGCTTACCTAGGCAAATGCACACATGCATACATATTGTATGGGAAGGCATATGAAGGGGATGAGGGGTAATCTGAAAGTATTGGTGATTGACATGAGCAGGCAGATGGTGATATTAAGGTGTTATAGAGATCTAACCAGAAACATCTGGAAATCTGTGGTCCCCTTTTTCATCAATGAAAGCATGAAGAGTTTGCCCCCATCTGTCTTACTCTTGGCCAAAAGAAGGATGGAACCAAAATCATGTTGAGGTGGAACATTGTGAAGTACTTTGACCTTCTCCACCCTTTTTGTTCCTGGAGGGGGAGAATATAATGAATTGACAGTATAATAAACATAAAATAATCAAAACTTCATAGTTATATCAAGTTTGAACTACCACTAGAGAAATTACCTATGTTAACATCTAATTAATTCTTTTTTAAAATAAATATTTATTTTTCAGTTGTAAATACCTTTAAAAGGTATTGGACACAATAAAGGTATTGGACACAATATCTTTATTTATTTGTTTTTATGGGGTGCTGAGGATCAAACCCAGGGCCTCGCACATGCTAGGCGAGTGCTCTACCACTGAGCCACAACCCCAGCCCCTAATTAATTCTTTATATTTATTATTCTTTTGAATGATTCTACCGCATCTCAGATGAAATCCTATAATCTGATTATTTATCTATTCTGAAATTGCAAAATATGTTATTTATATACTTTACTATAATTTTAGTTTTCAGATGTGGCAAGATGAATTAAGAATTCAGTAACTTATTTCTCTTGATATTGTACCAAAGTTTTTGAATAATTGATGTAGGAAAAAGAAGATAGGTTTATTGTCATCCCTACAATATTCCCTGTTTTGTGTATCTGACTGCTTGTTATGCATGAGAAAAGGATGGTAGCAAGCAGGGGTTCACACCCAATCTAGAGAATGCTAATCAAAGTGTGTTCAGGTGGGCCCAGGGGAAGATTGTAAAACTGCTGTTTTAGACCATAGAATATCTGTCTAAGATGTTATAGCAAAGGGCTCTTTGAATTATATTTTAAAGAGGGATACTGTTCATTTTTTTGATAGAGGTAATTAGCAGTTAATCTGCATCTTTGAGTATGAAAAACAGATCCCACCTGAACTATTTGTAATACTAGAAAGTGTAGTGGATTAGGTATCAGAATACTCTTATGTCTAGAACCTGTCTTTGAGACCCTGAAAAATAGGAACAGACATCTTCGTGAGTGGATGACTGATTTCCATATGTTAAACCAACCTTGCATTCCTGGGTAAATCCCATTTGATCGTGATACATGATCTTTTTGATATGTTTTTGTATTGGATTTGCCAGAATTTTATTGAGAATTTTTGCATCCATGTTCATTAGAGATATTGGTCTGAATTTTTATTCCTTCCTTCCTTTCTTTTTTTTTTTTTTTGATGTGTCTTTGCCTGGTTTTGGAATCAGAGTGATATTGGCCTCATAGAATGAGTTTGGAAGTATCCTGCCTCTTTTTCTATTTGCTGAAATAAGTTAAAGAGTATTGGTATTAGTTCTTCTTTAAAGGTCTTATAGAACTCAGCTGTTTATTCGTCCAGTCCTGGGCTTTTCTTGGTTGGTAGACTTTTGATGGCATCTGCTATTTCATCACTTGAAATTGATCTGTTTAAATTGTGTATATCATCCTGATTCGATTTGGGCAAATTATATGACTCTAGAAATTTGTCGATGCCTTCGATATTTTCTATTTTGATAATGCTAAGTGAAGTTAGCCAATCCCAAAAAAACAAATGTCAAATGTTTTCTTTGGTATAAGGAGGCTGATTCATAGTGGGATAGGGAGAGGGAGCAAGGGAGGAATAGACGAACTCTAGATAGGGCAGAGGGGTTGGAGGAGAAGGGAGGGGGCATGGAGTTAGAAATGATGGTGGAATGTGATGATCATTATTATCCAAAATCCAGGTATAAAGACACAAATTGGTATGAATATACTTTGTATACAACCAGAGATATGAAAAATTATGCTCTGTATGTGTAATAAGAATTGTAATGCATCCCACTGTCATATATAAATAAAAATAAATTAATTAATTAAATAACAGTATTTTGACATGAAATGAAGGTGAAATCTTATTACATAGTAGTGAAATAATAACTTCATATGTTTAAGGAAAAATTTGTTCCTATCTTTAGAATGGAAAATATATACATTTTTTTCTGAACCTTTTAGTTAACACTATTGTGAGTTTAATTTATTATAAGTTTTACAGTTATTATTAGAACTGGCCATCATTAGACTTGTCAAGAAAAACTGACTTTTATTACAAAATTCAGTATCTCTTAATGATTCTGCACGCATGACTTATTATTTTGAGGGGGTAGTCATTTAAAATATTTGGGCATTTGAGATGAATATAAATACATCTTTTAAATTAGGAAAGTGATCCAAGATTGCTGTGTCATTTAGAATAGCAAAGATAGAAATAATGTACTATAATTTACTACTTAGTTTATAATTTTATGTACATACAAAGGATATTTTCAAATAATTTTGAGTTATTAATAGACATGCCTGATTTTTACTTGTATACTACCAAAATGTAATTAAAGAAAGTATAACTTTGAAATTAAAATCCAAATTTGTACTAAATACAACTTCAGATCTTTGCTACAATAAAACAGGACTTGTAAATAACCTAGGCTTTTCTGTTTGTTTTTTAGTTATTAAGTCGAAAAGACAAAACTACCTTTGAAAAATTAGAATATGTAATGAGTAAAGAAGATAACTACAAAAGACTCAGAGACTATATAAGTAGCTTAAAGATGACACCTTGCATTCCCTATTTAGGTGAGTTACATCACTGTGTGTTCGTTATTCCTAGTTGTTGCTTTTCCTTAATTCAGTAATTTGAATGAAATTCAAGGCATTGTAAAAAGCATATGTATCCTGAAAATAAATCATTGCAAGATTGCTAAGCTGAAAAAAATGATTAAAGGAAGCTTTTACTTTATTGTTTAGAATGTATTTTAATAATAAATTAGCCTTTGCCCTTAAAGTTTTTTCATAGACAAAATCATTTTCTTCAAAATGGGCTAAATGGTAAAATGGTGTTTTAGTTATGCTTTTAAAGAATGAGATGGTAGTAATGAAGCTTAATATATTAACTGAACATTGATCAAAGTTCTTGACAGATATTTCAGTGTGAGTTCTGAAGAGTAAATCTCAGTGTATATTGGTATTATTGTTTGCCTGGATAAAATGAGTCATGTAACTGTAGAAATTTAGCCTAGTGCTGGGACAGTTCTGGATTTTATATATCATATTATTAAAAATTTATCTCCTTACTATATATCTTACATTGTTTATAAATATAAAAAACTATTTAAACAAAAACTATTTAAACAGTTATTATTAGGACTAGCCATCATTAGACTTGTCAAGAAAAACTGTGACTTGTATTACAAGCATTATAATACTGTTTTCAACAAAATATGAATAACACTTTTAGGTGTTTGAATGAAGTCTCAAATAAGCTGTCCTTTTACATTTGTGTGTAAATTAAATATGTAGGAAAAAAACTCCAGATGTATATAGGTAGCATGCACTAAAATTAATTGGTCTGATCCTAGTAGAGAGTAAACAAATGATAAACAGTTGTTTTTTTCTATATCCATATCCCCCCATCTTTACTTTGTCTCTTATATAACTGTTCATATGGGATTTCAAGATAATTATTTCTGTAATTGAGAAGTCTGTTGTTTAAGAGTCTCCCACCGTGTGACTCTCAAAGTCTTTGCAATATCAGTAACTAGAAGACGAAGCAGGGCCAAAGGCAATGGATATACACCCATTCAACTGCCATAGAGTATCAGCCTTAAAAAAAAAAAAGTTGAGCTCATTAGAACATTGTGGGATGTCCAGTAGGAATAGGGACATGTTGTGCAGAATAACCTAGTTAACACTGCACAGTATGTGTTCCACTTTTTAACATAGCCATGGTGTGGCCATACATGAAAATGTAAATTGGAGAAAAGGAGGAATAGAGGATTTTTTTTAAAGTAGTATCTTCATAATTCACAAGAATATAAGCTTTTATATCATTAAGAACATTAGACTGAGAATTGCCAATCCTTATTTCCAAAATGGCTCTACTATACCTAGCTTTCAAATCATTGATTTGAACCTTTTTGTCTTTACCTAGAAATAGCATGCATAGGATCATAGAACCATGTTTTTTAGGCTGGATGGGGTCATCTTGATATCTTTTAATATACTTATTCTACAATTTAGAAAATCAGGGTCCAGAAAGGTGGGAGAACTGGCTCATGATCCTAAGAACTATTAATTTGCCACCTAAAATCTTGACCTGACATGCTCTAGTTGCACCTGCTAAACTCTCATGATAAACTCTAACAGATCCTGTGATTGTTTTCCTTTTCATTGAATTCCATAATTTTTATCTTGTAGGAAAATAATTATTAAAAGTGAAAAAATGACAAATGAACCCTTAAGCTATGCAGGGAGTGTTGTTTTATATTTTTCCATAGTGAAGACTTATTACAGACTTTGAAGCTCTGTGTTTGTGTGCATGTACACCTCATGTATATTCATGTACACTCTCATATGTGTACACAGAAAGATGGGGAGGAAACACTAGCAAAGTTACTCAGTGGAATCCAGAAAGGTTTTTTCTGCTAGAGACTATAGCTGTTCTCTCCCAGAGAAATACTGAGTTGCAGATAATTAATTAATTAGGAGAAAATATTAAAATGATTATCTTTTCTGTATCTTCAGTTGATCTCTAATGACTCCTCTTCAGTTTCCTTTGTTTTTATGTTTTCATGACTTAATAAGGTCGCCACTCCCTTACTCTGGGCTGCATGTGAAGCAGAAGAACATCATGGCCAAAGGGCTTGTCACAGGAAAGCTACTCAGCCCATGGTGACCAGAAAGCAAGGTGGGGATTTAAGAAAGATGAACCCTTCCAGGGCTTGCCACCAATGGCCACCTCCTCCAGCCATACCCCACCCGCCTGCAGTTACCACCCAGTTAGTCCGTTCAAACTATGATGGACTGATTACATTACAGCTCTCACAGTCCAGTCATTTCAGTTCTGGGTGTTCCTGCCTTAACATCGGAGCTTTTAAGGGCCACCTCATATCCAAACCGTAACACTTACAGTCTTCATATGTTTCATCTCTATCCTGTCATGTGATGAAGCATATAGATTGTGAGATGATTGTGGACCATTTGGCATAAATACTCAAAAAAATAAAATATTAGCTAAGTTACTATGACTTAGTTTAGTTAGATTCCAGCATGAAAATCTTCATTTAATGTAGTGACAGTTTGGTTTTCTCAAGAAAAAGGCAGACTTTTTTTTTACAACTTTTTAACTTCTTGATTTACATCTTAGAAAGATATTTCATTTTTTTTATTCCTGATCTTCAGTACTAAAGTGTGTTGAATGCAGATTTTAATTAACCTTAGCTAATTTTCTGTTATATTTACTTTTTCTTATTTTATTCTAATTTATAATTAAGTCTTGATTTTTTAAAATTTAACTTGCCTTGATTTCAGAATCCTTTCCAACTCATCTGAAAATTGGCTTAGTACTGCTGCCAAAAATTTAAGCATTTATAGATGCTGTACATTTAATAAGATAGACCTTGCCCTGAAGACATTTGGAAGATAATACTCCTTATACAATTTGGTGTCTTCTAAAACTGTTCTTCTTTAGGTATATAAGATTCGCATAATGCTACCCTTTATCCCTTATATCTACAGAGGTTCTTATGGAAAGAATATATCAACCAAAAGAATCTATAGTGTATAGAGAAGAGGTAATGACTCTTTCTCAACATGAGACAGGTAGTCTAAACTGATAGTGTTTTTTTCTGCTAAAAATAAGAATCCAAATCAACCATTCTTTGTGATGCTTAAAAAAAGGTATAGGTTTATATGGTGATAAAACCCTTAAGTTGTTTGGGTACCAGGGGTTGAACCCAGAGGTGCTTAACCTCTGAGCCTTTTTATTTTGAAACAGGGTCTTGCTAAGTTGCTGAGGCTGGCTTTGAACCTCAGCCTCCCAAGCCACTGGGATTAGAGATATGCACCATTGCACTAAAACCCTAGTTTTCATACTGCCAAATGTATCTGTAATTCAGTGTAGATTGACTTATAAGAAATAAAAAATGTCTTCTTGGCTCCCCACTCCTCATCCCTTGAAATATTGCCTGTTCTGTTAGTTTGCATTCCAAAGTAAAAAAGTAGTCAGCCTGGATAATACAGTGAAAAATTCTTAGTGCAAGGATGCAATTTGTCTAGAGAGGAATAGTTTGGCAAATCTTAAGGAAAATTTTGTTTTATGTGAGAATTATTGCTTTAAATCTGAAAGTCATTAACAGTACTCATTTGTTCTTGTCATTGGAAAACAATCTTAAAGGGCTTATTGAAGAATTTGGCATGGGATGTTTTGCTTTGCTTCAGAGATAGAACAAAATTGTACAAAAATAATTTAGTTCTGTTAAACATGGTAAATACTCCTTCATCTGTGTTTTCTAAAGCCTTGTTTCTATTTTATTCGTATAATGGGAAGATGCAGTAGCTCAGCCAGAGCTTTCTCAACCAGGTAGCTTTCTTGGATAGATCGCATATTTTTTTTTAAACTATGGAAATAAGTAAATTGTTTTAGTACTATATATTGCATCCTATTAAGTAGAAGCAGAATGTTACAGAGGAAGTTTTTATAAAATCTCTAGCCCTTTTGTAGGAAGCTTGTTGGCTGTTTTGATATGTCTAGATGCATAACTCCTTACTTTAAAGAGACAGATCTCTCTCCCTTTCCCCCTTGCATTTTCAATGTAAAGCAAGAGAGCTGCCTCTATCATAACCTTCTGTAATATCAGTCTTACTCCCTGGAAAATACCCTGTTTTATTTCTATAATTTTTCATCAGTCATCTCACTCCCAACAAAAGTGGAAACCCTTGTTTGTCTTGGTTAAAGGCTTTAGCATGTGATCAAAAGTAAGAATTTAATAAATATTTGTTGGTTCAATGAATTAACTTAAAGGATCCTTTTCTAGCTCTTCCTATTGTTCCAGCAATTTTGTTTTAATTTTTGTTTAACTACAATAAATGTATTTGTGTAGCATATTTGCATGGATCATCTCTGTACTCACCCCAGTTTTCTCTTGGTGCCTCAACTGGCAGCCAGCTTTGCTGAGCACTGTGCTTGGTCCATGTCTTTGTGGGACTTGATATCACTTTAATAACCAAAGTTCAGGTTGATATCATTGCTTCATGAAAAACTCTCCTTTATGCTGTTTTGGGAGAGGCATGTCGTCATCTTTTGTATTGCATTGTTAGTGGTATCTTCATCACAGTTAACAAAATTTTTAAAGCATACCTAAACTTAGAAGAATCTTAAGATTGTTATCTGATCTTTTTTTGTTTTTCAGTCATTTATGCATGTATTGCCATGTGGAATACTGTTCTCAGAATATAGTTCCTTAATTTTACATTAATTTAAGAAATTTCTTTTAACCTATTACAAATATTTTTAAATAATAGTTTCAGATAATTTCAGTAAAGCCCAAGATTTTCTTCAATTCTGTATGAATCAATGGGCTGTTTTCATTTCCCTTTGATATAATTTTACTTGATTAAATACATAAAAGACTCTGTGATCTCAAATGCCTTATGGTGTAAAACTGACACTGGCTTTTAATATTTTAAGAATTTTACTCCATTTTATTTTTTTGACTTGATTTGTAGATAGTACACCATGGATTATTTGGCCCTATTGTTTTGACTACATGTTGTTATATATTGTATTCTAAAACAGC